GAGGCATGCACCACCGCGCCCAGCTTGTGAAAGATCTTTTGGATGTGCCCTTGAATTTGGTTTCTAAATATTTTGTGAGAATTTTGTGTCTGTGTTCATCATCTGGCAGAGTAGTCTGTAATTTTTATTGTGTCTTTATTTGGTTTTGCATCAACGCAATACTAACTTTGTAAAAAGAGTTTGATAGTATTCCTTCCTTCCTGTCTTATAATTTGAAAAGCATTAGCGTTGGTTCTTCTTTTACAAGTCCAGTAAAATTCACCAGTGAATTCACCTGGGCTTGGACATTTTGAGTTGAGGGATTTTAAATAACGGTATCAATCTCACTGCTTATTGCAGATCTGTCTAAATTACCTTATCTTGGTTTAATTTTAGTAGGTCATAGGCATCTGGAAATTCGTCCATCTTTGTTTTGAATTTTATTATTTTTTATTTTATGCATATGCATATATTGCCTGCATGTAGGTAAGTGCGCCCATGTCGTGCAATGCCCGCGGAGGTCAGAAGAGGCTGTCAGATCCCCTGGAACTGGAGTTACGGACAGTTGTTAGCTGCCATGTGGGTGCTGGGATTCGAACCTGGGTCTTCTGCAAGAACCACCAGTGTTCTTAACTGCTGAGCCATCTCTCCAGCCCCTCATCTATTTCTTTAGGTTTTTCCAATTTCATGGAATATGTTTTTAAGCATAAACTAATGGGGCTGGAGAATGGCTCAATAGTTAAGAGCACTGGCTGCTCTTATAGAGGGCTTGGACTTGGTTCCCAACATGTACACAGTGGCTAACAACAGTCTGTAACTTCAGTTTCAGGGGATCTGATGCCCTTTTCTGGCCTCTGCTGACATTGCACGCATATGGTGCACCTATACATGCAGGCAAAATATTCATACGTGTAAAAAAAGATTAAAAAAATAAAGTAGGAGCTAATGACTGAATTTCATTGGTATCTGTCATAACGGGTCTCTGGCAGAGTAGTCTGTAATTTTTATTGTGTCTTTATTTGGTTTTGCATCAAGGTAATACTGACTTTGTAAAAAGAATTTGATAGTATTCCTTCCTTCCTGTCTTATAAAATAACTGTTTTCTCTTCTTTGTGGTTAGTTTAGTTAAAGGTTTCGTGACCTTATTTCATCTTTTTAAATAAATATTTTATGTGTATGAGTGCACTGCTTGCATGTAAGTGTACCCATGTCATGCAATGCCCACGGTCAGAAGAGGGCATCAAATCCCCTAGAACTGTAGTTATGGGACAGCTGTTAGCCATCATGTGGGTGCTGGAAATCAAATCCGGGTCCTCTGCAAGAGCAGCCAGTGCTCTTAAAAACTGAGCCATCTCTCCAGCCCCGACCTTATCTTTTCAAAGAACCAACTCCGTGTTCTAGTTTCATTCTGTTGTTGTGATATAACATTCTGACCAAATGGGGAAAAAAACAACAGTAATATAACATTCTGACCAACTTGGGGGAAAAAAAAAGGTTTATTTCATCTTACACTTCCAGGTCACAATCCATCACTGAAGAAAGTCAGGACAGGAACTCAAGCAGGAACTGATGCAGAAACCATGGAGGAACATTGCTTGCTTGCTTGCTTGCTTTCTCTCTGGCTAGTCTCATACAACCTAAGCCCACCAGCCCAGGAATGGTGCCACCCACAGTGAGCTTACCTCTCCCACATCAACCAGATTTTAGTAACTATGATTAGGCATGTGAAGTAAGTAGGATGAATGAGGCCAGGGATAAGTATTTGACTTTGAAAAGGAAAAAAAAAAAAAAAAAATCAAAGTGGGAAAATTATCTGGACCTAATTATGTACTTTAAGTTTCTAGAAAAACAATAGTTAATATCAAACCAAGCAGATGGTAAGAAATTAAGATTAGAACTGAAATTAATGAAGCAGAGACTAAAAGAACAATACATCTTAACTCCAGTTCCAGGGGAATCTGATGCCCTCTTCTGACCTCTGCAGCATTGCATGGCATGCATGCACTCACATACATGCAGGCAATACACTCATACACATAAAATAAAAATACTAATTAAAATATAATTTTAAAATATATTTAAAAAAAAGAAAGCAGGCTGAGCCCAGGCCAGGGGAGCAAGCCAGTGAGCAGTGTTCCTCCAGGGTCTGTGCTTCAGCTCCTGCCTCCAGGTTCCTGCCCCCAATTCTCTTGAATCATATAAAAATTCATATAAAATTTAAAAATAAGAAAATGGACCTACAAAATCTAAGGAATGTGTGCTGTAAGCCAAATAAACCCTTTCCTCCCCAAGTTGCTTTCAGTTGGTGTTTTACCACAGCAATAGAAAGTAACCAGGGCAGATGGGTATAGTGGAGAACTGTGATTGGACAGTAGAACTTTGTGAAAGAACAATGGAGGATTGTGATGGAATAGTGGAGCATTATGATGGGATGAGGGAGCATTGTGACAGAATGGATTGAAGTTAGACTCGCCTGACACTTCTCTCATTGAGGAAAGAGCAAAGCAGTCTTAGGCCTCTGAAACACCACCTTTGTCCACGCCTAATATAGGCTTCATTTCCCACAAGTGAAAATGGACCTACAGGGGCTGGAGAGATAGCTCAGCAGTTAAGAGCACTGGCTGCTCTTGCAGAGGACCCGAGTTCAACTCTCAGTACCACATGGTGGCTAACACCCATCCATAACTCCAGTTCTAGGGGATCTGATACCCTCTCCTGACCTTCATGGGCACTGCATGACATGGGTGTACTTACAAACATGCATGAAGTACACTCATACATACAAAATTTAAAAAGTAATAAGAAAATGGACCTACAAAATCCTAGAGAATGTGTACTTCTAAAAAGTCTTGGGGTCATAATTCATTGGAAACAATGTCAAAAGAAATACCATCGGTCTTCTGAACTGAAATTTCTTCAACCTAACATGATTGTTTTCACGTAGTGTCTAAACACTAAGAAAGGTCTGTTTGGTAGAATGTATTATTGCTTTAAATGAGATACACATCATACTAACCCTTAACCCTATCTCCTAACCCCAATCTTGTACTCTAACCCTAACTCTAATCTCAACCTTAATGTTAACCATAAACACCTAACATTCCAAATCCAAATGCTAATCCTAACCTTACCCTCAGATAACCCTAATTCCAACCCACTCCCACTCTAACCAAACACCTAACATCACTACCCCAACTCCTTACAGTAATCCTAACCCAGAACCCTAACCTCAACCATATCCTAACTCTAATCCCAACTCAAACTAACCACACTTAACATTATACTTAACTTTACCCATATGCCAACCATTACCCTAACCCTAATCAAAAACCTAACCCTAACTCCAAAATCTAAAACTCTAGTCCCTAAACCCCATACACAACCCCTATCCTTAACCTCAGGGAATAATTCCCTAACCCCTAACAATAAAAACCTTAACCATTATCTGAAACCTAACTTCTATCCCTCTAATCCTAACCACAATCTTTAACCCTAGTATTTAATCTTAACTCTAACCCTCTACTGTGGCCCACAAACAGTAAAGCAAAATAAAATCTCCAGCTGTAAACATTAAACAAAATTTCATCTGGCAGATCTGCACCATGCCTGAATCAGTTACTGGAAGTACTGGATAGTACTGGCTAAAGCATACAGGAAGTAATTCTTGTCGTGGTTTATACAATACTCTACCATGGTATGGAAAGCAATGTTAACAGTGGTACCATACCAGTGGAAGTATGTTCCTGGACTCCTTGCCTAATCACATTTGGCAGTACAGGAAAGAAATGGCCAAAAACTGGATCAAGGCTGCAATCCTAAAGACTACTTCCTAATGACCCACTTCCTTTAACTTGGCTCCATCTCCCTAAGTTTGACAAGCTCCAAAAACAGTGCCAAGAATTGGAAAGGAAATATTTGATCACAAGGATGATTCAACTTTTTCCTCTTGTGATCTTCATTATATTATTTACTTATGACGAGGAGCACATGTGTGAATAATACATGTGGTGAGTCAGCAATCACTACCCCTTTCATCCAAGAAATTCTTATGCAACCATAGGATTATAGGTACATAAGATAAATAACCACATCACACAATCAGAGTGAATCATAAAGATCTATCTAAAGATTGGCAATATGGCACAGTGGAGTAAACAGGCACTTGCCACCAAGCCAGACAACCTGAGTTCAATCCCTGGAACCCACATGGGGGAAAGTGAGCAATTACTCCAAGTTGCCTTCTGACTTCCACCTGCTTGCTGTGATGTGTACACCCATACACATAAACACATACTACACAAATGCAATGTAAGGTTGGAGAGATGGCTCAGCATTTAAGAACGCTTACTGTTGTTCCATTCCAAACACCCACATGGCAGCTAACAACCATCTCTAACTCCAGTTCCAGGGGATCTGACACCTTCTTCTGGCCTCTTAAGGCATTGCACACACATGGTGCACTTAAATACATGCAGGTAAATACATGCAGGCAAAACACTCATATACACAAAATAAAAATTTTTAAATAAATGCAATTTTAAAAAATTTCAAACTATTTGAAAATAATTCTTTATTAAACATAATTTTATTGTTTATTAAAGATGAAAGCAAGTGTTCATAGAGATGGATATGCTTGTTTATTTTTACATAAAGAATTAAATCTTAGCTGAATATCTTAGAATGCATGCTACAAAAACTCAAATGTTTTCCAGAGTTGATTGATATTTTGATTTTATAATCATCAATGTGAGAATGCACTTCACATAAATTAGTATAAAATGGAAGAGGTATGTTTAAGACCATTTCAGAAATTGCTGGAAATCTTTCATAATCTCAAGTCAAAAGTCACCAAACAATTTTTATGAAATGCAATTCAGTTAAGTCAGCAATTTTAAAAAAATTGAGCTTTCTAACACAATACAATCCAAATATTTACTAATTTGTTATAAGCTGATGGATAACTAGGAAAATAGAAAATATTAAATTTTATTTATTTATTTTTTAGTCTTTTTGAGACAGGGTCTCCCTGTAGCCCCAGCTGTCCTGGAACTATGTAGACCAGGCTGGCCTTGAACTCACAGAGATCCATTTGCCTCTGCCTCCCAAGTGAAATATTAAATTTTTTAAACTGCATAAGGTGAAAAAGTTGTTAATTCACTGCCGAGGAAAATATTTTTATACGCCTAGTCCAATCTAAGTCTAGAGTGTTTATAAAATTTACAGTATGTACAGTAATGCCCTTCACATTCATATTCACTAAACACTCACCAATACCCAGGGCAACATCTAGTCTGAAAAGCTCTAGTTGCAGGATGTGGTCAATTAAGTAAATGCAGCATTTATCTTTGTGTCATAGCCTTTCATTTATTTACACCAAATAGTTTCTGTTTCAGCCATATTATCACAGTAAAGGGGCTGGAAAGATGATTCAGCAGTTAAGAGCACTGACTGCTCTTACAGAAAACCCAGGTTCAAATCTCAGCACCCACACAGTGGCTAACAACCATCTGTAACTCCAGTTCCAGGGGATCTGAGGCCCTCTCTGTCCTCCATGGGTACTGCACTACATGGATACACTTACATACACATAGACATAACACTCATACACATAAACCAAAAAAAGTTTCTTCAAGCAGTAAAACACACTACAGATGTTTGGAATGGTGTGTGGTAGGTGATACCATGAGTACACTTGTGACAGTTAATATTATCAACTTGGAAGGATCCAGAATTACCTGGAAGCCTCTGGGTGTGCCTATGAGGGATTATCTTCATTGGGTTAACTGAGGCAGGAACAATCACCCCAAAGAAGGCGGCACCATTCCCAATTTGGGTCCTGGACTACATTAAAGACAGGAAGCTAGGTGATCATGAGCACTCATCACTCTCTGCTTCTTGAATGTGGATGCACTGTGACAAGCTGCCTTAAGCTCCTGCTGCTGTGACTTCCCTGTCAAATCAGACTGTAACCCCCAACTATGATCAAAATAAACACTTCTTTCCTTGCTTTTGTCAGAGTATTTTATCACAGCATCAGGAAACGTTAAACAGTCAATGATATTCACACAACTTTGAAATTATTTAACAATGCGTGTATGTATATATATCACTAAGTACTTCCATTGTTAAGAGACCTGACCATATTTACAGACTTTTCACCTCAATGTATCCCTGCAAAAGAAACGGAAATTTGTAGACCAGGCACAGTGGCCACATGACTTTACTCCCACCACTTGGGAGGCCTCTGTGAGTTCCAGGCCAGCTGGGGCTACAGGGAGACCCTATCTTATAAAGACAAAAAAAAGAAAACTTGTATTCTATTCTAGGGACATTCATGTTTTTTTTGACACAGGGTCTCACTATGAAGACCAGGCTGGCCTAGAACTCAGAGATTCACCCGCCATTGCCTCCAGAGTGCTGGGATTAAAGAAAGGCATGCATCACCATGCTCAGCCAATTTGGGGCTTTGTTTTTTTTTACATTCTTATTCTTTTGAAGGCAGTACTGAGGACTGAATGTAGACTCATGCATGCCAGGCCAATGCACTATATATACAGCACTCATCTACTCTGGGCAGCTGGGGCAGGTCCTGAACTTGTAATTCTGCTTCATCCACATGAGTAGCTAGGACAACAGGCCTTCTTCACAACAGGCCTTTTTCAGACTGTCATCAAATGTAAATCAACGGTAAACACAATATATTCCTAACTTGTGTAATATTCATGCTATAAAAATTTAAGTATTAGAGATTAATATGCAACAAGATTTCAATATACTTAAACTTATATAATTTCCTTCCAATAGGAATTCTCATATGCCTTTAGTTAAAATTAAAAAAAAACAAACTACTTTCTAAACTGCTATGTCCATTCTTATAAGATCTACCTCTACTGTGCACTATTATGTGTATTCTAGTGCATGATGAGAAATTAAGGTACTCCCATACCCATTTATTCTGTTCACAAGGTATTCCACTGGAGATTTTCAAGTCTTCAAATGGAACTAACATCTTAATGCATCTTTTATCAAAAGACCTTTCTCCAGTCTATGTTTTTTTTCCCCAAGTACTTCCAAACATTTGAAGGGAATTAAAAAGTCTAAAAGCCTCTGCACATCGTTTACATTCAGGGGCCTTTTTCTACAGCATGAGTTTTCCCATGTCTTTGAAGGGAACGGTGACACCTGAAGGCCTTACCACATTGTTTACATTCATACGGTTTTTCACGACTATGAGTTCTTTCATGTCCTTGAAGAGAACTGTGACATCTGAAGGTTTTGCCACACTGCTTACATTCATAGGGTTTTTCTCCAGTATGGATTCTTTCATGTACTTGGAGAGAAGAGAGACGCCAGAAGGCTTTATCACACTGCTGACATGCATATGGTTTTTCCTCAGAATGAGTTCTTTCATGCAATCGAAGGGAACTCTGAACTCTGAAGGCTTTACCACACTGTTTACAAACATAAGGTTTTTCTCCAGTATGAGTTCTTTCATGTCTTTGAAGAAAAGAGGGATAAATGAAGGTTTTATTGCATACCTCACACTTATAGCGTTTCTCTGCAGAATGAGATCTTTCATGCATTTGAAGTAAATAACGAGAAATAAAGGGCTTACCACACTGTTTACATTCACAGGGGTTTCCTTCAGCATGACTTTTCTCATGCACAAGAAGATTACTAAGACAACTGAAGACTTTATTGCACTGCTTGCATTCATAGGGTTTTTCACGAATATGAGACAGTTCATGTATTCGCAGACAGCTGAGGACTGTGAAGGCTTTACCACACTGTTTACATTCGTGTGGTTTTTCTCCAGTATGGGTTCTTTCATGTAGCTGAAAGGAACTTGAACAACTGAGAGTTTTAGCACTCTGCTTACATTCAAAGGGCATTTCCTCACTATGTGTTCTCTCATCTACTGGAAAATAATTTAATCTTCGGAAGGCTTTACCACATTGTTTAAATGCGTAAGGTTTTTCTCCAGTATGAGCGCTTTTGTGTAACTGAAGGGCACTGGGACAACTGAGGCTTTCACCACACTGTTTACATTCATAGGGATTCTCACCAGTGTGAGTTTTGAAATGGGTCTGAAGTAAAAAGGGGTAAATGGAAGACTTACTGCATTGTTTACATGCATGTTTACGAGCATAGTAGTTTTCTCCAGTGTGAATCCTTTCATGTCGTTCCAGGGAAGAGGGATACAGAAAGGCTTTACTACATACTTTACATTTATAGGGTTTCTCTACAGTATGAAATCTTTCATGTACTTGGAGAGAACTTTGATCTCTAAAGGTTTTACTACATTGTTTACACTGGAAGGGCTTTTCCTCAGTGTGAGTTCTTTCATGTTTCCGAAGGAAAGAAGGACATAGAAAGGCTTTACTACATATCTTACATTTAGGTTTATCTACAGTATGAGCCCGTGCATGCAAGCGAAGGGAACTATGACATCTAAAGGTTTTACCACAATGTTTACATTTATAGGGTTTTCCCCAAACGTGAGTTCTTTTGTGTCTTTGAAGAAAAGAGGAACAAAGAAAGGCCTTACTGCATATCTTACATTTATAGGGTTTCTCACCAGTATGAGACCTTTCATGGGTTTGAAGTAAATATGAATAAATGAAGGACTTACCACACTGTTTACACTCATAGGGTTTTTTCCCAGTATGAATTATTTTATGAGTTTGAAGAGTAGTGTGAGTTCTAAAAACTTTGCCACACTTTTTACAGTCAAAGTGTTTTTCTCCTGTATGAGTTCTTCCATGTAGTCGAAGGTAACATTGATATTTGAAAGCTTTACCACACTGTTTACATGCATAAGGTTTTTCTCCGTTATGAGTTCTTCCATGAACTCGAAGGAAACTAGAAGAACTGAGAATTTTACCACACTGTTTACATTCATAGGGGTTCTCTTCAGTATGAACAGTTTTGTGTAACTGAAGATCACTGTGACATCTAAAGGCTTTTCCACATTGTCTACATTTATAGGGGTTTTCTCCAGTATTAGTTAATTTGTGTAACTGAAATGAACTTTGATGCTGAAAGGCTTTATCACACAGCTCACGCTCACAGGGTCTTTCTCCAGTATGACTTCTTTCATGATTCTGAAGGGACCTGGAAGAACTCAGAGCTTTATCACATTGTTTACATTTGTAACATTTTTCCACAGCGTTAGATCTTCCATCTGTATAAAGTGAACTGGGACAAACAAAGGCTGTTCCACATTGCTTGTATCCACAGGGTTTTCCTCCACTGTGAGTATGTTGTATTTCAGGGGAACCTGGAAAACCAAAAGATTTTGAATAAAAGTGACTTTCATAGATCCACACACATTATGGGTTCCTATGTATCTTTGAATATTTGTAAAAGTTTAGGGTTTCCCCAGTGTTTACATTTATATTGCTTCTTACCGTATTCCTCATGCTCAGATGGTTTGTACGCTGAGTGAGATACGATGTGTCTATTAAAAGATGAACAGCAAGTGAAAACTCTCCCACACACACTGCAGTCACATGGTTTTACTCCAGTAAAATTTTTTGTACTCTTGTTGAGATTTGGGATCCAAGTAAAGATTTCTTCAAATCGACCACCTTCTTTGTACTCACAGGCTGTATCTACCATATTTCTACTTCTGTAAAAAACGACAAACATTATTAATAAAGGTTGCTTTACTAATGACTGTTTGCTTATTAGTAGGTCTTAGACTAACACTGTTCATAGACTTTCAGGAAAAGTGCATGCTTTTGCCACCTGAATGGTCTCAAACCAAATGTATTGATGAGGATTCTGCAATATGTTTTATAGAGCTACTATCAAAACAGCCACAGTCATACATACCCCGAAGTACATATTTTTGGTGAAAATTTTCTAAAGATGAACAAGAGTTCACAAATTCTCATGCCATATTAAGATTCTCTCAAGAGATGCTTTCTTCCAGCTGTACATGAAAATTACCTTAGATAACTCCAAGAATGTTCGTACTGCTCTTCAATGTTCTGATCTTCCCACTTGATTCCTAAAATGCAGACCCAGAAAAATTATTATGAATTATTAGTAAGTACAGAAAAATGATAGTTTCTAGGTTCAATGTACACTGGACCCATGCCTGATTTATTCACAACATTCTTCCCTTTCCACATTCCAAAACACAGAACCAGAAAACACTTGTCTAATTGACAAAATGAAGGAATGTTGGCATTTTTACCTATAGAAGTGAGGTTACTGCAGATTTCCAACATCACATCTCTGTACAGTTTCTTCTGAGAGGAATCCAGCAAAGCCCACTCTTCCTGGCTGAAGTTCATGGCCACATCCTCAAAGGCCAAAGAATCCTAAAACATCCCATATATATGTAGAAGAGAATGGGTGAGACTGACAGTAGAGATCTACACCCAACTGATAAGATGTTCACATAATTCTATGGTGTTCGAGAATTACTCAGTGACACTGAAGTTCTAATGCCAGCACTGAGACATTCAGAAAGGGGACTCCTCATGACTGCACCTGGGAGTAGGAGGAGCTGCTACGCTGACTCCCCTAATGGGAGTAGCCCAAAGCTACGCTACCCCAATTCCTCTTTCTAGAGTCCATCTCCAGTACCTGTGATAACACAGTTCTGCCTAGTGATGTACAGAAGACAGCTAACATTAGCCGTAGCACTCAGAGGTTGCTTATACAATCTTAATTGTGATGTGTGAGCTTTACCTGTGTTGAGAAACCTATGATTCTGGAATACATTCCACTAACACAAATAATAACTGAAGTTCACTTAATCTCAATCAGTTATGAGAATTTTCTGAATTGTTAGCCTTGTAAATGTTCTATACACAGTGGTACCAAGAGAATCAATCCCCACAAAACAATCTGGGCAATGAGTCTAATGAGTTTCTCTGGTTGACAGCTCATGCATGTTGTCAAAATTTGTGAACTGGGGAACTGAGCCCATCCTATGTGATTGCACCAATAGAAAGCAGTCAGAAGCCTGAAAGTAGCTTACACCTGGAAGTGATGACTGATGATCCTACCCCCACCACACACAACAAATTTAACATCCACTGAGTAAACTCCAAGTCAAAATGGAACTATAAGATCATGTGTTTTTACAAAGAACTCAGTGCAGTCACTTGTGTTGGCATGTGCTTATATCAGATACTTTGGAGACTAGCATAGCATACAGAATCACTTGGGCTCAAGAGTTCAAAGCCAGCCTGTACAATATAGCAAGATACCCATCTCAGGAGGGAGGGAAGCAGTGAAGGGAGATGTCAGCTCTTCTGAATTATAATTTATTAAAATCATATGAAACAAAACAAACCAAAAAAACTACCAAACTTTTTGGTAGTCATCAAAAACCAATTTTCCAACCTTCTGTAAGTGCTTAGCAATTGCCAGTCTTCTGAACAACAGGGTGATGGCTTGCCTAACACACAATGATGACTTTCAAACTATACTGAAAACACAAAAGGCCGAAAATAAAAGCAAATTTCCACTTTGGAAACTGTGATGGCTAATCCTGGCATCAACTTGACTGAATCTGGGATTAACTGATACGCGAGAGACCTTGATTGGAACATCTGAAGCTGGAAGACACACCCTAAATGTGGGTGTCACCTTCTGATAGTAGCCTGTATAAAAGACCATGGCAGAAGAGAGGGCTTGCCTGCTCTCTCTCGCTGGCGAGTTCATCTTGCTGCTGTAGACTGAAGACTAGCTGATCTTTTGGAATTCGCCAGACCTTCAGTGCTAGATTGGGACTACTGAGACATCCAGCCTGTGGACTGAGCGACTACAGATTCTCAGCCTCTCCAGTGTGATGCAGCCATTGCTGGACTATCAGACTCTATCCTATCCTGTGGGCTAATCTGATAAATTCCTATATAGATATAATACATACATATATATACATAATAATAATACATACATATATATATATAT